ATATCTTTAAACCATTCCATATAAATGACTTATAGTGCTTTCTTCGTTTCCTACATGTCCACGAAGACCCTAACCATGAAATTCTTTTGTGCAATGGCCCAGCCTCCGCAATTGATTATCCTGAAAACACAAAGAAGAAGATGAAAAGGGAAATAAACAACCATAAGTTCAATAGACATCAAAATCAAGAAGTTCACAAGAAGAGGTTACGGGGATCATTGTAGATTGGCGTAATCAAATAATATTCAAATGTTTTGAATACCTTCACGGCTACCATGTCATGTCCAGTGCTACCTTTTTGTTCCCTGATGGACACAACCTCGCGTTGTGAATCTGAAAAATTAATTGGAAATTTTAGAAAAACAACGGCTTTGGCAACCCACAGTAAACAGAAATAATTCAGCACATATCGCATTACAAATAACAAAAACGAGCAGGATCGAACTTTATGGTTTAAAAGATCGAAAATTTTGTAAAACGAGGTACTTTCAGACATAGGGGCTGGAAATCCCATAACCAGATAGACATCCACCCAAGGCTTAGATATCTCTCAGACTAAATTACCAACAAAAGAAACAGGAGGAAAAACCTTGGGTAGAGAGATTAGGTAATACGGAACAATTGCAGTGACATTCAATTTATACCACCACAAGAAGGAACTCTAACACGCTGCCCCGAAAAGCACATAGAACCGCATGAAGATCTAATAGACTGGGGGGTCAGGACAGGAAAATTGGATAAGAAGGAGGAAAAGGACGAGACTCAGTTCGACTAAATGCGACCGACTCGCCAAAAGATCAGAAAACAGAAGCAGACCATTAGGAGACATCGAAATCAATCCCAATTTCATAGATTTACTGGTTGATATTGGTGAATACCAATGACCAACTCAAGCCCCATACAAGAATTTGAAAGAGAACCCCGAAATTCGAACATAAAATTTGAGATTTTGGAGCAGGCAACGAACACTTTGGGCGAAATGAGAAAGGATAAGGCGTAGGAACCTGAAACAATTAATTCAACCAATCAATAACATCTCTGCGTGATTTCAGTTTCAACGACGTCGACGACCCATGAAAGCAAGGACTTCATCTCTAATAGTATAAATGTAGACATATGCCTCGTGCTCCTTTTCTCTCCCAACCACAGCCAGATCTGAGCTCCCATCGCTTCTTTTGAGAAAATACCGCACCTCCTTCCTTCCCTTGCTTTCGCTGCCCGTGACAAATAACTCCGCCCAGCTCACATACCCACACGTCGTTGTGGCCTTCGCCGACGCCAGTCTCTCCATATCAACTTGAAGTTTCAAACTCTCGCCGAAAGCCGGATCAAACCTTCTCTTCGCACCCTCGTTTGCTTCCGCTTGTCTTCGCTCCCGCGCGTGCCTGGATGGGTAAATACTCTCCCTGTGCGAGTGCCGGAATGATGAAGAAAAAGAAGAGGAAGATAGAGGGGAGAGGATTGCAAGGGATTTTATTTTAAAAAAATAAACAAGAGGGGTTGAATTTGAAAGGAGAGTGAGAAGGAGGGAGGGAAGATATTAGGGTTTCGAACAGGGAGGCGAAGGAAGTTTCGTGAAGGGTGGGAATAAAGGCAAATTGATGGTGACGTCGGCCCATAGAAAATGGATCCAAAACGACAGCTAAGCCGGCCGAATGGGACATTAAAAAATAAAAATAAAAACCTGGAAACAGGATCTAACGGTAGTGTTGAGGGGGAGGCAGAAGGGAGAGGAGGCCCAGCTTCACCGGCAATTACCGGTGACAGCCAAGGGGCGTGTCCGAATGAGGCGATGCCTTTACCCGGTCTTCACGTGACAGTCACATTCCGAAATGAATTATGAGCTGTCAAAAAACTTATTTTAATTGGGAGACAGGTCCACGACGTGGGCCTCCCCACTTGCCTTACAGTGGATCCCACTACTCGGTCCACTGTCATCCTTTTACGACCTGCTGCTCTGCAGTAGGACTTTGGCGCGGTTTGGAGTGGGCAAGTGGAATTTTACTTTCTCCATTTGAAAACATTATTATTATTATTACTATTGTTATTACACACGCAAATGTAATGACGAAAATCTGTGGTCAACTGTAATAATTTAATAATTTATTACTCATACAATGGCGAAATAACGTTTTTTGTTACCAACCACCGACATTTTTTAGCGAGGAAAAAATAAAGGAGAATTATAATAGATCCCACCCAAAGACAACAATTGAAAAACAAGTCTCAGATGTTGTCATTATCACTACAGGACTTGTTATTACAGGCTGTTGAGGTTGTTATTGACACTTTTTGATAATTATTTCTTTTCTGTAAGACTTAATTGTATTTCTCTTAAAATAATACTCCTCCGTCCTAATTATAAGACCCAATTGACTTATTTGAGGAGATTAAGGAAGTAAGTTAAGTTGGTTATTTATAATAAACAAGTGTTGTTATTCCTAATATCCTTGCTAATTAAGTATATTAGCTAAAACTATTATTATTAGAAGGATTATCTTGGAAAAAATGCATAAATATAAAAGAGAAAATGGATTGGGTCTTATTAAGGACCGGAGGAGTACCACCTCGAATCTTTAATATAAAAACTGATTAACTATAATTTGAGTAAATAAAAAATTAATTAAATTAATTATTTTTAATAAATAAGGATTATCTTTTATAAAAATCTTTGCTAATTAGTGTGTTACCAGAACTACTATTATTATAATAACTAACTTGAGAAAAAATAAATAAATATGAAAGTCAAAATAAATTGAAATCTTATATTTAGAATCAAAATAAAAGTTAAATAAATTCTTATATTAAAAACCAGAAATACTATCGTTTATAATCATAACCGCAGAATTATTTTTGGACAACAACCGATCTCAAATTAATGTTGAGCGAGATAAGCAAATGAGAAACAAGGGATTAATATCACCTTTAATATTTAAAATTTGATTTTATTTTAGTTTTAATTCCAAAAATTTAAAATTATTAATTTCAGTTCCTTAAATTTATTTTCATTCTGGTCTGCCCAACAATTTTTATCTTTAAAACAGTATTTTTTTCTAAAGTAAGAACCAAAATCAAAATGAGATCAAAATTAAAATAAGATTATTACCAAAAAATTAAAATAAGATTAAATTTTAAGAATTAAAATTAAAATAAGAATACATTTCGGAGATTAAAATGGTGAGAGTATTAACTAACTATATGAGGTAAGATCAAGCAATAGAAATGGAAAGGAAATATTGATTATGATAAGGATTCAATTCTGGCAACAAAAAATTGATAAGGATTCAATTACTCATGGTATAATAGGAAAATAAAAGAACAAGGAGGGGAGAGTGGGGATTGATATTGTGAGAGGGGGTGAATATGATTTTATGGTGATAGAGTGCATGTCTTTTTTGGGCCAGAGGTGATACAGTGCACTTAAAATTATCACTTGAGTATTTGACTTACTTGGTGAAATTATGATATTCCCTTTAGGAGGTTATTTTATTAATGTTTGCTATATAATAAGGGTTTTAATTTTAAGGGTTTTCTATAATTTAGAAATTATTTTGCATCTTTATCATTTGGTTTGATAACATTGGTCTTAATTAATACTCCCTCCTATCATAAATGTAAAACCTTGCCTTGTAGTGTAAAATTATACTACAAAATAAGTCTTATATTTAAGATCAATTAATAACATTTTTTAAATCATTTCACATGTTGATTGTATGCACCAACATTCATTATGTGTAGTCATCATACGAAATGTAAGTTCTGTTTTTTTTTTTGGTGATAATCAAATGTGAAGTCCTGAATTTGATTGTTTACTACTCCTCTGGTCCTTAACATAAGGCCCATTTAACTAATTTGATTAGATTAAGAAGTTAGGTAAGTTTTAATTATAAGAAAAGTGACACATTTTTCCTAAAATACCATAATCATCTTTCTTAATACCCCCTCTCCTCTTCTACTTAATTATGGTTGAGAGAATATCTATAGGGATAATTTAGAAAAAATTGATAAATATGAGAAATGGGTCTTATATATTTAAAATCAAAACCAACTCAAAAATTGAGTCCTATATTAAGGACCGGGAGTGTATGGCTTCCTATCAAATAAATAAATTCACTTTCCTGCTAAATCTGAAGAACTATTATTACTTGTCTATATATGTGACCTATAAGCCTACTTCATCCTCTCAATAAGGTCGTGCCCAGACCTTTTTAATACTCATCCACTCATTAATATAAGACTATTTAACTATTTTGATTATATTAAGAAAATTAGGTAAGTTAGTTAATTATAAAAATGTAACACATTTTTTAAAACATCATAATCATCTTTCTTAATGCCTCCTCTCCCTCTTTTATTTGATTATGATTGAGGGAGATAGGGTAATTTAGAGAAAATAAAAAATATGAGAAATAGATCTTATATTTAAGACCAAAACCAAGTCAACAATTATGTCTTATATTAAGAACAGGAGGAGTAGCTTAAAAGTTATCAATGTAATTCAAGATGGGTCTCAAATTTTAGTTGTTTTTTAGCTACTAACGGTTTTTTTGGATATACTGGTTGAGACTTTATATTCTATTCTTTTGGATGGATACTGGATTAGTCTTTTTTTTTTGGTGTGGCACAAATATCCTTTTTTGATAGACGTTGGATTAATGTTTAAGGAGTATTTAGATGAGAACCAAACTGTAATTTTAGAAGTGATTTTACGGTATATAAAGTAAATATGTGGAAGAGTTTATCTCGATTTGTAAAAAAAAAAATCTTTAAAAAGCACTTTCGGAGATATTCTAACACTCCCTTAGTTAGTCTGTTGTAATGTATTCTCCTCCGATCATTAATATAAGACTCATTTAACTAATTTGATTAGATTAAGAAAGTTAGGTAAGTTTGTTAATTATAAGAAAAGTGACACATTTTTCCTAAAATACCATAATTATCTTTCTTAATACCTCCTCTCCCTCTTCTACTTGATTATGGTTGAGGGAGTATCCATAAGGGTAATTTAGAGAAAATTGATAAATATGAGAAATGGTTCTTATATTTAAGACCAAAACCAATTTAAAAACTGGGTCTTATATTAAGAACCAGAAGAGTATTATTTTTAGACTCCGGACCCATAATTTGATCTTGACCCAAGGCTCGTAGGATGATTTCATATTTATCGTTTTATTATTTTGTTAGTTAAATAAATTGATTTTCATATAAAAAAGTTAAAACAGCCTAGTACTTCCTATATTTAATTTTTGGTTTCTTAAATTTGTAGGAAAAATGGCAATAAAAAAAACAGCTAAAATAGAAAATTACACATAAGGACCAGTTTATAAAAACTGTTATCAAAACTCATACTATTATTGTTAAAA